GAGAGTGGCATTTTGCCTCAGAAAGGAAGCCAAACAAGCCAAAAATTTTCATGCTAGGCTAATCAGAGTGTCTTATCTAAGATATTAAATTTGCGCACCAGGTCCATGCTTCCTTCATAACTTAAATCAAGAAAGCATTAGTAACTGCTCTCCTAAAGTTTTTCAAAAACCTATTACACCTCTCAAAAAGCTGAGAAATCTTGTAAAAATTTGCGTTATAAAATCAATAAACTTGCAAACCATATTACACAATTTTTTACGTTTTTTTGGAGTTTTCTCATCATACGGTCTGATTTATCACGTGGTAGTATATTGAATGTTCTTACCGTAATCCTACTGCACTGAAGAAAGATCGGAGCTTCGCTCCATATACTGTAAATCTAAGTTAAAGCCAGCTCTACAGAATGATACACAATGGTCGACAAGACATCGAAGCAAGCGAGTTATCAAAGATCAAACAGTGTGCACATCGTTTTGGGAAACATTGTATATACCAGTGGCGTACCCAGGATTTCGGCTCGGGGGAGGGGGCGCGACAAAAAAATTTTTCCAATGAAGGTGCGTGGCGTCAGACACGCACTCCGAAAATTTTTTTGGGGTGTTTCCCAAAATCTTTCCGGGCCCCTGACCCAAAAATTTCAGAAAAAGGGGGCGTGGCGGCTACGTCCCTCAAGAAAAATTTTTTTTACAAAGCTAATTTGAATTTTTAAAAATTTTTAAGAATTATTTTAATTATTTACAAGTAAAACCAAGTCCTGTGCATATTTTGATAACACATTTAAGTAACTTTCAAAAATCTTGCCCCCCCCTCGGTACGCCACTGGTATATACATAATAGTCTGTTTGAGAATAATATCGGCGTGGCTGTTATTGTTGAGTCAAAGCATTTAAGCAAATCGCAGTTGCGGTAAAACAGCTTGCTTATGTCCTTGAGTCGCAGGCAAGGAAATGAAAATAGGTGAGAGAGCGGTCGAAACCGAACTTATTTGAAAGCTGGGGGTTGGTATAAAGAGTGATAATTTTTTGCTGTGAAATTATGGTCGGTACTAAGCTCATTTTCTCGCAGCGTTGCACGCTTCACAAAGAATGCTAACACAGAAGATTTCAATGCGACGGCAATTTGTCTATTGTTGAGTTAATGCATGTCATTTCTAGACTTTTGAATCCCTCTCTTTATAGGCTTGATTTTCAGTAGCAGTTTTTCTACAGAACGCAGCAAATATGCCTGTCGCATATCTCTAATAAAGCTTAGCCGGACCAAATTTTTGTCACATCAGGCTTGCAATATACAGTGACCGTCAAAAAGTTGCGGACAAGCCTCCCTCCCTTTTTCATCGCTCTTTTTCGGAGGGAAAGCAAGGATGAAAAATGTAATAATTGCATGAGATGATAGAGCTCTTCAAGATCTACAATCTACACTTTGAGTTTTTTGAGAAACATGTGTTCTAAAAATTTTAAGAATTTTTTTTCTAAAAAAAGTCCGAAAATGGCCGCGTCACAATGTCGCGGACAATAATTCTTCGAACGAAAAATTTTCTTTTGAGTCCTATTTTAAAGCGGAAACACAAGTTATCCGGACGGGTAAGCATACTACTATACAGAGCTCGTCAATAACTACACACTGGTTATGGTTGCTTCCCCAAAAAACGCAAGCTTGAGTTTTATTTTAGTTTTTTCAAAAAACAACTCCTAAATTCCTTTATCAAGCCAAATTCCTTCACACGGAAACCTGTTCAAGACATCCCAACAAAGCCGTCTGGATAAAATAGATGCTCTTTGCCATCCTTTATGCATCGGACGTGTGCTGATGAGTTTCTTGGCTGAAAATGGCCCTTGGCAGTGCTTGCACATGACCCCACCTGCACCTCACCACTGACTTGTACCGCTTTGCAGGCTTGTAACTTGGCCTGCGGTCAATATTTGAGCCTGCAATTAGGCTCATTCAAAAGAACGAGACTTCCTCTACACGATGCTATGCAAATAAGTTCAGTTTAAGCAATCCCAGAGATTTGGCGGATGGGGTGGTAGAGGCCAGCTATAGAGGTGATTGGAGTGAAAGCTCTTATGAACACCAGAACAGTCTTAGAGCTTCGAAATGGATCTATTACAAGAAAATTGACAGTTTTGAGCTTCCAGGATGAAACTGGTAGCGAAAGGAGCTCTCTTCAACTTTAGCTGAAAAGTGCTTAGACTACAACTGAAGCTGCCCTCTACCACCCTATCCGCCAAATCTCTGAAATTCCTCAAACTTAAGTCGTTTGCATATCATCGTATAGAGGAAGTCTCGTTCTTTCGAATGAGCCTAATTGCAGACTCAAATATTGACTATAGGCTGAGTTACAAGCCTGAAAAGCGGTACAAGCCAGTGGTGAGGTGCAGGTAGGGTCATGTGCAAGCACTGCCAAGGGCCATTTTCAGCAAAGAAACTCATCAGCACATATCCGACGCATAGAGGATAGCAAAGAACATCTATTTTATCCAGACGGCTTTGTTGGGATGCCTTGAACAGGTTTCCGTGTGAAGAAATTTGGCTTGATAGAGGAAATTAGAAGTTGTTTTTTGGAAAAACTAAAATAAAACTCAAGCTTGCGTTTTTTTGGGGAAGCAACCATAACCAGTGTGTAGTTCTTGACGAACTCTGTATAGTAGTGCTTACCCGTCCGGATAACTTGTGTTTCCGCCTCAAAATAGGACTCAAAAGAAAATTTTTGCGTTCGAAGAATTATTGTCCGCGACATTGTGACACGGCCATTTTCGGACTTTTTTTAGAAAAAAATTCTTAAAATTTTTAGAACACATGTTTCTCAAAAAAATTAAGGTGTAGATTGTAGATCTTGAAGAGCTCTATCACCTCATGCAATTATTACATTTTTCATCCTTGTTTCCCTCCGAAAAAGAGTGATGAAAAAGGGAGGGAGGCTTGTCCGCAACTTTTTGGCGGTCGCCGTATCAGGTTGTCCCAAAAGTTCTTGCCCGGATTTTCAAAAAATCGTAACTTCCTTCCTTCCTAACGATTTTCTCAAAATTATTTTTGTTTGAAAGACGAAACCTTTTTCTTTATAGTGATACCTTTGCCATGAATCAGCGTTGGTAAGTTCGAAAATTAGAAGCAATTGAAGGAAATTAGTCAAGATCGGCATTTTTCAAGCTGGATCACGAAAAATTCGAAAGTATTTTTATTTGATAGAAAAAGTTTTGCACATTACAGTGGTGCCGTTTACATGAGTTAAAACGAAGTAGATCGAGAGCTAGAAGCAAATGAAGAGGATTTCTTCAGTTTTGCAATTTTTGATCATGGTCAAAAAAGCTTAAAAACGTCACAGAAAAGGCGAAAAAGTCATAAACATGAAAATTGCAAAACTGAAGAAATTCTCTTTATTTGCTTCTAACTCTCGATCTACTTCGTTTTAATTCATGAAAATGGCACCACTGTAATGTGCAAAATTTTCTCTATCAAATAAAAATACTTCCAGAATTTTTCGTGATCCAGCTTGAAAAATGCCGATCTTGACTGATTTCATTCAATTACTTCTACTTTGGAATTTTCTGACGCCGCTTCATAATAAAGGTACTCTTGCAAAGAGATAGGTTTCCTCTTTCAAATGAAATTGGAATCAAGAAAATCCATCGAGTGACAAGGAAGATATGATTTTTTGAAAATCTCGCGCAACTTTTGGGACAACCTAATAATTTGGACTCTGTGGCACTTCCAAATTCATTTCCTAGCTTGTAGAGTGTAATAGCTTCGCTGAGTGAAATGAATTACCATACAACATCCAGAATTTTCATACCATATTTACGTTACCATTTAATCAACTTACAGCTTCTGATGAAATTTGAATCTTGCTCACAACTTTTCTTTTGTTAAGCAGCACAAATCTTCCAAATTATTTGTCACTGTTTCTTGCACAAGTTTCGAAATTGAACAGGAATTGTTGTCCAAAGAGAAAAAGGCTTATCCTATTGGCCAACCTACATGATCCAGTATTATAATCTAGTTCGTCAGACTATACATTGCCAGTCTTGCTTTCTGCAGTCCATATTCCGGCTAGTGTTATCATAATCGTGCTCTCTTGGCCTTTCATGCTTGAGTTTGTGCCTTTGAGCCTATTTCGTTTCCTCCTTAACATGATAAGGACTCATAAACTCAGTTATAAAAGCTCGATATTATGATGAGTATCTGAAGATTTTAAGATGGTTTGAGATTGGTCGTTGAGGACGTTTCAGGGATTCACTTTTTTCATCAAGCAAATAAACGACCAATAGAATTGTTTCTGGTCATTGTTTTGCTAATATAAAACACATCGAGTTCTGACAGGAACTTCACCTCACGCACTTTAAAAGGGGTTTTTTGATATGTGATCACAATCTTTGATTACTCTGACAATACGCTTCCATAATTATTCTTCAACTTATAAAAGCACCTTACAAGAAGAGCTTTCTTTGATGCTGGTGTAAACAAACCTGTTGTGCTCACATCATTCATTTTTCTTTCTTTTCCTCTGTCCACATATGATCTTTTTCTTCTAAAAGTATGACACCGTTTATATGGAATTTTATTGTGAGGTGGTCCTCAGGTACAATTTTTGCAAAGGTCACTAATTCAAGAGCCTAATTTAAAGCGCTGTAAGTCTTATAGAGACACCAGACAAAGTCTTCTGGCTTACTAGCTATTTGAAGTTACTACTTGCTAAGTTTGAAAGCTTTTGTTGCAAAATTGATTGAAACATTCAAAGATTACCAGTAGTTGTAGATTTTCAAGAGTTTTTAAACCTCCAAGATACTATGGTTAGACGGCCCATGCAACAATATTATACGATTTTTTAGATAATAGAAAGTTTTCTAGAATGCTATTAAACACTGAAAATGCACTTTTGGTGTCCATTTGGCAATAAAAATCGCGCCTCTTGACATAAACTCTATCGACCTTTTTTTGTGCAGAACCGTCACTCCGTCTTCTCTGATGTTGAAAATTGCTTCAAAAATCGCATGTTTCAGCGATGGGCCGAGATGGCCACGAACCGCTGCCTACTGAAGATGTGACCCTACCGACTGGTGAGAATTAACTTACAAAATTAGCTAAGATCTTCCTGGCGACCTCGGGCAAACCGACGGGGCTTTGTCATAATTCACTTAAAGGATTTTCTCTTTTTAGGCGAGGAAGAGCCAGACCGAGGTCAATGGACGGGAAAATTTGATTTTCTCATGAGCATGATTGCTTATGCTGTAGGGCTTGGTAAGAAGGTTCTAGAACTGAAAAATATTTTTGTGTTGTCCATCTTTTTAGGCAATGTCTGGCGGTTCCCGTACCTTTGCTTCAAAAATGGTGGCGGTTCATTTTTGGTTGTATATGCCATATTTTTTTGCTTGGCCGCAGTACCAATATTCATCATGGAAGTGACCATAGGACAGTATTTGCAACGAGGAGCAATGGAAATGTGGCGAATGTGCCCGATATTTAAAGGTACGTAGATCATCTTTCCGGTCCCAGATAGAAATTTCGCTCCTTTAGGTGTGGGAATAGGTAATGTGGTGATCGCTTTCATGTGCATCGCTTACTTCTGCGTGATAGTAAGCTGGGCCATTTTCTACATGATCGCCTCGTTCAACAGTGTTTTCCCATGGGAGTCTTGCGACAACTATTGGTAAGAAACAGTGACAGGGCAGAAAAGTTTTACTCCGCGAGCGGTGAGGTAAAGTTCCAAAAATTTTTTGATCGGAGATGCGGAAGTCTCTTTTGGCAAACTTTCGAGTTTTCTGCAAGGTCATAACTCTTCGAATATAACTGGGGGAGGTCTCGAATTTTTGCATTACCTACAATTTCATTTCTATTTTTTTACATATAATTATATTCTTACATCAGTTTTGATTTTTACCATACCCTCAAAAAGTATGCAATTCAATCAAATTTTTCGAACTGTATGTCCGTGTTCCGCCTTTAGGTTAAAATAGCCTCCAATTACATTAGCCTAACTATTCTATTTCAGGAACGACTACACCTGTGTGACGGGCAAAGAAAGCACTGCTGCATTGGCAAAACTTACGAAAAACCTCACGAGTCTTGGAATGAAAACTCAGACATCAGTGGAACAATTTTGGGAGTGAGCACATGTCATCCGATTACATTTACATTCACCTAGTAATGTCTATTCTTTTCAGAAATCGAGTCTTGCAACAAACTTCGTCAATAGAGAATTTCGGTGGAATTCAGTGGGAATTGCTGGGAATAATGTTCCTATCGTGGTTGATTGTCTATTTTGCCCTTTGGAAAGGTATAACGCAAGCTAGGAAGGTAAAGCTTTGCTCATCGCCATTCGCAATTTTCTGTTTCATGAAAAAGGGTGCTAAAAGGTACCTAAAGTTACACAGGACTAACTAACGATAAAAAAAATCATTTAACAACATACAGGGTGTCCCAAAAAAATGTTAACACTGTTTGATCGCTAATAACTCTCTTGCATTCATGTCTTTCGCCGAGTTTAAGGCACCATTTTCTAGAGCGAGGTTCAACTTAGATGTGCAATACAGAGGGGACCCCGATCTTACTTGGTTACTGTAGGATAAGGGTAGAAACTTTGAGATGGATTTTAGCAAGTTGAAAGCGATTTTTGCTTTTGAAGAAAAACCAAACAAGCCAGAAACTCTTGTACAGGACTAAATGAAGTCGCTGATTCTAAATATAGAATTTGCACTTCACTGTAGTGCTTCTTTCGTAAGTTATTGCAGGTTTAGGGTAACACCGGTTTTTCCAATGTTCGTCAGAAGTGTGATTACACCATTGAAAAGGTCGAGAAACTGATGAAAAGTTATACGGTGAAATCAGCACCTCTAAAAACCTTGTTACACGAATTTTTGTAGATTTTGGAATTTTTTTCATCAAAAGGTCTATATCACAGTGGCGCTATTTGCTGAAAATTTATACCGTAATCCTACAGTAACCAAAAAAGATCAGAGATTCACTCCATGCTGTAAATCTAAGTTGATCCTCGCTCTACAGAATGGCACCTCAAGCTCGGCGAAAGAGATGAATGCAACAAAGTTATTAGTGATCAAACAGTGTTAATTTTTTTGGGACACCCTGTATAATAAACTGTCAAAAGTTTTCCGAGCAAGATTTTAAGAAGCTTCCTGAGCAAGATTCTAGGAAGCTTCATGAATTTGTGATTTTCCAGCTCTACAAAGATAAGGGAAGTGAAGAGTTTTTTCTTTTAATGTTTTCTTTTCTCATAGAAATTCTGAAACTGAGGAAATGTTGAAAATTATCGCGACCGTCTGCTACCTTGCCTTATTGAGGGTTATTCACTTCAAGAATAGTTCAAGCATCCGAACACGTCTCAATGCTTCAGAAATTAATTATAGGAACAGCCTTGAATTAGCACTAACCGTAGCAATCAAACAACTTTTCAGTTTGTCTATTTCTGCGCTCTTTTCCCATATTTCTTGCTCTTCGTTCTGCTTTGTCGAGGACTGACACTTGAAGGTGCAGGAAAAGGTAAGCAACTGGCTACAACTATTATTCAGTTGGGCGTTGGGATAAATAATCTAACAATGGAGCGATACTTAGGGTCCGTGGCCTTTTGAGATGTAATGTATACCTTTATATTGCATTTAAACGCTGATTCCGAATCTGATTTCCGTTTTTACTAATCGTTTCTCTGAAAGAAGTTATAAAGGATTTTCGCGCCAAGTTTGGCAGCCCGAAGGGAATACGATGGCAACGCCAGTTAAAGGGAAATAGGGTGGGAACTGAAAAACAAAAAGGATTCGAACCACACATGCAACAACTTGTGAGGCTATCGCATCAACTATTACATCACAGCGTACAGAGGACATCAGTGTTCCCAACGTATTTCCCTCGGGGCCAAACTTGATGCGAAAATCTTTCATAACTTCTTTCAGAAAAACGATTAGCAGAAAAAAGCGAGATTCGGAATCACCGTTCGAAGACGAGTGTGATGGTATGCATTTCCACTCAGAAGGCCACGGTCACCAAGTATCGTTCCCTTGTAAGAAGGTGTTGAAATATTAGCCTGTTTTTTGGGTCTGTCTACAATGTACAAAACTAGGCAAGTGGTCGTTTTATAAAGAAAAAGAGCCGCATTTGAGTTCAGGAGTGGTTTCGAAAGTTCAGTTGAAGAACAAACCATTTTTTGTAATAAAAAAGCATGCAATAAGAGAAAGAAAATGGAGGTAGCTAATGGGAAGCTCCTCCCATTCGTCCTCAACATGTATGTCTGCACATACCCAAGCCTCAGCTTCCCAGCTAAAAGTTTAAAGAATGTACAAAACCATTGACAACTGCCAATAGGATTGTTATTTCGTAACTGAATACTCCTCCTCCTTATACTAGGTAATTTTGATAAAAAATGAAAAAACTCCACCATCTTCATCGGTAATAAAAGCGGCATGTGCGCCTCCCTAAATTATGTGTGTGCAAATTTGATTAGAATCCAGTCAGAAATGAAATCCCTGGAACATTAGTGCAAACAATAAACATGTGCGTAGAAAAACAAACAGTACTAATTTGTAAAGAGTTCATTACCTTGCAGGCATCTATTACTACCTCAAACCTAACCTTACTCGTCTTGCTGACACGACTGTCTGGAAAGATGCCGGAACACAGGTCTATAAAAATCGAAATTTGAAGTTTTGACTAGATTTCATCTCACACTTTCCCATGCAGGTCTTCTACTCTTACGGTGTTGGCTTTGGAGCACTTATCGCACTTGGATCTCATAACAAATTTCATCATAACTGCTTTAGGTAAGTTTCATGATGTTTGCAATCATAATCATTTTATGAAGCAATAGTTGCAAGCATTTGATGTTTAAGAGATGCATTCCTGATGTGTATCATAAATGGATCTACCTCCATACTTGCTGGATTCGTAGTATTTTCAATTCTTGGATATATGTCAGTGATTGCACAAAAGGACATTGCTGATATCGTTAAACCAGGTAAGCGTAGGGGGCGATTTACAAAGAAGTAGCAAGCATGTCCATGCCAGAGTAGTATTCGACTGGAAGCAACTTTGTTGAAATCCCATCAAAACGAATAAAGTTGCTATACATCGCCGGTATGAACTGATTGAAAATTCTCTTGAAGTAAAAGATGCTTCTGTCCTGCTTGGGTAGCGTCAAGACGTTCAAAATACGGGGTACATTCGCTTTCATCTAAATTCACGACTTGGATCGCCAAACTTACATCAGCCCTTTGATAACCTTACCCGGAAGCAGATAGTTCATAAGCCTCTAGCAAACCTACAATACTTAAAGGTTTTGAGCGATCAAACATTCTTAGAAAAATTCCTATGTAAAAACAAAGTAATTAAGGCTCAAAACTGCTATATCAGGCTTGAAATAGAATTTCTCTTATCTAGGTGTTGGTCTCGCTTTTCTTGCTTACCCGGAAGTGGCCAGTAATTTACCTGCAAAGCAAATATGGTCTTGCCTCTTCTTTTTGATGATCACTATCCTTGGTTTAGATAGTCAGGTGAGTACTACACTCTCCAAAGTTCTCTTTTATGCGCTCTCCATTTCAGGTCTGCATGATGGAGGGATTATTCACTGCTCTAGAAGATGCTTTTCCATTTGTTTTGAGGAAACACAAAAAAATTTCTCTAGGAGTGACATGCTTCATATTTTTCTTGATAGGAATTCCGATGGTGACAAATGTAAAGAATTCCCCTTAACATCCTTTCAATGTTTAGCGTCTTTTCATTCGTTTTAGGCAGGTGCATACTGGCTGACGCTGGTTGACAATTATGGAGCAAGTGGATATGCTTTACTCTTCGTGGTCTTCTTCGAAGTTGTTGGCCTGTCATGGGGCTTTGGTGAGTTTATTGATTGAATTCATAAGTGCAATAAACTTTCATGATCTCGCCAACTTACTTGACTCTGAACAGCCTTAAAAGAGAAATTCTTCTTTTTCAGGGGCTGAGAAGATACGAATAGCACTAAAAGAAATGGTTGGTATAAAGCTGTCTTACATATGGATAATTGTCTGGAAGTTTGCTGCTCCTGCAACGAGCTTAGTAAGGAAAATCTATAATTGCCCATTAAAAGCCCACCAAAAAGCAATTACGCATTTTCAGCTGCTCTTCTTCTTCTGTTTGATCTACTACCATCCTCTCAAGTATCCAACCGGTGAAGATTATCCAGTATGGGCTAATGCGTTTGGATGGTTCTTATCATCATGTTCGATGATCGTAATCCCGGGATATGCACTGTATTACTTATTATGCACTAATAAGCATTTATCCATCAAAGAGGTAATTTTTATGTGCAACCAACGTACAACTTACCCTCCGTCTCAATAACAGTGTCGCTTGCACGTGCGGCTCAAGTGCCGCGCAGTCGCCTTGCGCGAGGCTTTCGCCGCGTTTGCGAACGTGTTTCTTGAATTTTCCCGCGCTTGAGCAGCGATCATAGGCTGCATGCGTGGAAAAATGGCCAAAGAATGCGACCGTGAACGCAGCGCAAGGCTTGTGCGATGCGGCCGCGCGTACTCCGAGCCGCACCAGCCGGTGACACGGTCATCGTGACAGAGGGTGATATTTTCCTTATGAATGCTTTTGCGAGATATGGAGCATTTTCAGAGATTCCTAAAAGGGATTCGGGCACCTGACGTGCTTCATACTGGCAAACCAGCAGTGACCGGTGAAGAAATGAGGTTTATAGATGAAAAACACTAGATTAATTGACAGTTCTAAATTATGGTCTCCATTAGATCTTCTTTGTTTTCTGATAATAATTTTTGATAATTTTTGTTGTAAATGTATCGTTGTGTTGCTCTAAAGCAACCTGTTCAATGATCTTCCTCTCTCAGCTTTTATCATTTCTCCGCTGCATGTGCTTTTTAACCGTAAACCGAATCTCTATGTGAAAACCCTAAGCAGCTATACGAATAAGCATTGTATACAATAACACATATCACTTCTTTCACTTTATTGCGTGCCAACCTCTACAAATTGAATATGTTGCCACTTTGAGCAAGATATTGGTGCACGCATGGACAGTTTCATAATCATTAGCCCTAAGAACCATTGAAAGTCGTATAAAGTCATAATAAATTTTTGAACATTATTCATACAATGCCAAAGGGTTCAGATGTTTGTGAAAAAAGATATCTAATGAATTTCGGAATCACACTCACACCATTCACTCGTCTGCAAGCAGCGCGGAAGTACTAGTGTGAACGGAAAGTAATGGCACACTTCGAAAATAATTGTACCGTTTACAAGAAAGAGGATTTTCTGGACGCTAATTTTGATAGATGTTGAAACAATTCCTTTCATGCGAGACTTATATAAGGCTTTTTGCATACGTAGCAAATACAGTACTGGACATAATTATAAAGCCACTCTGGAAATCGTCGTGATTTTCGTTTTTGTCAATGAATCTGTCTGCAACTTTGTTGTATTGTGCGCATTTCAACCTGCCATGACCCCTCATAACGGCTTCCAGTCTTGTTGAATTTGAACGGAGAAAAACAAAAAAATTCGAAAAAACCCTCTTTGAAACCTGGACAAAATTATAAAGCCACCTGGCTTTTCTAGTCACTATCGCATTCGTTGACTCTCAAATTTTTTTGTACAATTACATCCCAAAATATGAAACATTTGCAACACCTACGGCCTGTCATCCTACTCAAATAGAAGCGCTCACTGCATTTTTTGCTTTCAAAAGCACCAAAAGTCAATCTGCTTCAACAAACAACTGGTTTGAAGATTTTTCAAGCTCTTATTCATTTCAAATGATAGTCATAAAATCTACTAAGCATTTTCGATAGATGAGGTAAGGAGCGCTTCCATAAACTCTGCGTAATCGCTGATTTTGCGGAGAGACTCCAACCTTACCATGGGGTTGACGCACTTTTGCACCACAAAACTCGATTTCCAAGCGACAGAAAATACTGTATAACCATTATGACAGCCATACAACAGTGAACTCGTGTGCATGACCTGGAAAAAAATTCGGATTGAGAACTCTGGTTCAACCGCAGTTGACATCCACTGAAAGTTGAGTGGAGCACCCTGCACAATCAAAGCCAGCTCAGATCACGAAATAAAACTGGAGACGCTTAAAACTTCAAAATCTTAGCTAATCTCATTCATTGGATGAAATATGACATGAAACACAGAGGAAATAAGGAGATCTAGGGTTACATCGAATCTTCTGCTCGCAGGGAATTTTCGTGGAAAGTATTTTAGGTCTAAGTCGCTACCGCATCATTCGGGAAAATCTGAAAGTTGTTGCGAAAGCTGCATCCCCATGTAAGCACTGTAATAAATCAAGTTCAGCACTTTATGGACATTGCAAATTGAGTTTTGTGGTGCAAAAGTGTGTCAACCCTATGGTAAGGTTGGAGTCTGTCCGTCAAAATCAGCTATCACGCAGAGTTTGCGAAAGCGCTCTTCATCTCATCTATCCAGAAGGGTAAGTAGATTCCATGATTGTCATTTGAAATGAAGAAGAGCGTGAAAACTCTTCAAAGCTATTGTTTGTTAAAGCAGATTGACTTTTGGTGCTTATGAAAGGAAAAAATGCAGTGATCGCTTTTATTTGAGTAGGATGACAAGCCGTAGGTGTTGCAAATGTTTCATATTTTGGGATGTAATTGTACAAAAAATTTGAGAGTCAACGAATGCGATAGTGATTAGAAAAACCAGGTGGCTTTATAATTTTGTTCAGCTTTCATTAAGGGCTTTTTCGAATTTTTTTGTTTTTCTCCGTTCAAACTCACCAAGATTGGATGCCGTTTTGAGGGTTCATGGCAGGTTGACATGCGCATAATACAGCAAAGTTTCAGACGGAATCATTGACAAGAACGCAAATTACGACGATTTCTAGAGTGGCTTTATAATTATGTCCAGAACTGTATTGATAACGCAAAGCTATTCACTTCGAGCAATCGCGAACTTTGAGCACTATCTATGCTTGAAACATGTGCGACCACCGAAGGTGTCAGTGCTGCACTAAGGGGAGTTGACTGTCAACAAAGCTACGACGCTTAAGAGCACCAGAACTTTAAGGCAAAGAATTTTGTCAAGAGGAGCAATTCCGAGTAGAGGGACGCTTGTTATTCAGTTCTTTGCCTATGAATTCGAAATTTTTGGATAACTAAACAAGCTGTTTACTCTTTTTCCATCCATACGCAAATTGCTTCAATGCCCTTTACGATTAAAAAGTGAAGACTGAAAATGATTGTTCGGGGTTTTACTGCTCCAAAAGTCCGCACCAAACGTTCTTGCCTTGTTCTCTTCACGTTTACACTTGCAAAGACAAAAATTTTTCGCACATGTGGTAAATTATTTGAAAAGTTTTTTGAGCTTTTTCAAAAGAATCCATTTGTAGAGCTTGAAGAGCTCTTCCAAACGGTATGCTATCTTCACGTATCTATTCTTTGAACCTGAACATATTATATAGGATATCAAGTAGCGTTCTTCTACCAATAGGTGTTATGGATCTTTATGATCTTACGTTTCGACTGATATCGCCTTCTTAGAGGTCCTGAAAGGGCACTGGTGATATTATGTGTTAGTTTAGTCTACACAACCAAATGACTCATACGACTTCTGTTATTAAATGGAATGCCTGAATGTGGCTCAGCCTATTTGGGAGAGACCGGAAGAATACTAGGTGTAGAAATGAAAGAACACCTGGTTAACAAAAGAAGAGAAAAGATGTCATCACCACTGAGCAAACGAGGCTTAAGATAGTGGTGATTATGTGAAGTGTACAATTTTGGCATGGGAGATTGAAATTTCAGCACGAAAATTGCTAGAAGCCTATTGGATTTATGCAGGTAATCTGGGCATGACCAACGAAAATAAAGGCGTGACAATAACAGATTCACATGTATTCACAGAAATCTGACACGCAGATTGAAGGAAAACCGACTTTGAAAGCTTTCTGCGTACATAGATTTGTCGAACTTGTTTTCGGAAACGACTTATTTGCAGATAGCTCATACTTTACAGACCAACATCTACGAAAACTAACTGCGAATCAGAGTGCTTAGGCGAATGAGTGCTTTGCAAACTGTATGCAAGTATAATACTTCTTTACTCGTTTTCTCTCAAGCTCAGTTGTTATTTGAGCGTGAAAGACATAGAAAAGCAAGGCATTGGCGTTACAGTGACAAACATTTCAACAATATTTCTGTTTTGGATTTTTTCAGCTGCCATTACAGCGTCCACAGCAAAAACTTACCACTTTTTAAGCTCAAAAATCGTCTAAGTTTCAAAACACTGAATTGCACTCCATATTATCAGCTTGCAGGGAAGCGACCCAAAACTGTTCTATCCGTGTCACCGATGTTAAAGCGCTGTCAGCTAACGCTTACTAGGAAAGTACTTTCAATCGTTGACGTCTGATGAAGGTTGTATATCATCTTTAGCACTTTTAAATTTTGATTTCAAATCTACATTGCGTTTCTGCGAAACCTCTTCTAAAAGAAGTCATAGAAGCCTGAAAATTATTCGCGTATTCGCTAAGTTCGAGTCGCTCCTAAGTACAATGCGTCTAACGGGGGCAGGGCCGCGTAGTGCAGTCACATACCCATGCGCGAGCGCTATTGTAACCTACATTACGCAGGAACAATGCCGCGGCAAGCGGCACTTATTCCTTGTCATGCTTCCAAATTTCTGAGCTCTTCTGTCTGAAAGTCTACTTCAGTACTTTTTGAAATCTTCCAAAGTATCACTGCGTTGGAGAAAGGAGGTCTGAGAACTTTCAAATAGGATGCATTCTATATCGTTTCAGAACTGTTAGAACGACCGATGCTCTTTCTTTTTACCCAAGCTACAGAATGAATACCGTAATATGTAATGTGGTATCGTATAGGCTGAAGTGAAGGTTTGAGTGAACCGCGCCTTGGCGCTGTGCAATGCAATCAACGATACACGATTTTGTTCGATGAAACACGAGTCGATATAATGAATAATGACATCCTATAACGCCCGCGGTTTCGGGATGTAGACTGTTGATTTCATGAGTAGGCAGGCGTCGACAATATTGGAATTTATACACAACTCCGGTCCTTTATGTTTCCATTTCTACTCTACAAGACAAAAGATCTTTTGAACACACCTTTATCTATAAGCAGGCTGGTCACGTCCTTCGACTGGCCATGGGATAAGTGCAAAGTCATGACGTTAGACCGGAGACCAAAAGCGTCCCTTAAAATTGGGAGAATTGTGCTAGACAGGAGCCTTGCCCACCTATGCTTTTTCGCCGGTGGGATGCGCATGCTGCTACAGTTGAAGGAAATGTCCGGGTACGGGGAGATTTAGCTTGAGATGTTGGTACCGAATAGCAGCATTATAGGGTGTCAAAGAGTTAAAGTAGTTTTGAAGCTTTTTAGTCTGACGGCCTATTACGACAAAACCGCTCTTCTAAAAGATATGTGCGAAACGAAATTTCGAAAACGCTTGCTTCATTAGTTTATGGTATAGCAGTGCAAGATTGGGAAACTTTCAAAGTTTTTGAAGTTCTTCAAGGTGCCACGCGTAGGGTTGTGGGGGAGGAGCGTTAACGAGTTGTAAAAATGATGGGATAAGGTCGCTTATATAAGCAACGTTTGAGTGCTTGATATTATCGAACAAAACATCTCAAAATGTATTGAAAATCAAGCTGTCCCATTTTTTCCGTTCACTCTAAAGACAGTTCTGAAAGGTTTTTCGTGAGTACA